GCACTCTAGCCCAGGCAACAGAGTGAGACTCTGTCTCAAAAAAAAAAAAAAAATAGATTTGATAAATGAATTCAGTAAAGTTTCAGAATACGAAATCAATGTACTGAAACCAGTAGCATTCCTATACACCAGTAACAATCTAGCTGATAACCAAATCAAGAGGGCAATCCCCTTTACAACAGCTACCCAAAAAATAGAATACCTGGGAATGTATTTAACCAAGGAGGTGAAAGATCTCTACAAGGAAAACTATAAAACATAGATGAAAGAAATTGTAGATGACACAAAGGGAAAAATACCCCATGCTCGTGGATTAGAAGAATTAATATCATTAAAATGACCAAACTGCCTAAAGCAATTTACAGGTGCAATCAATCCCTATCAAAATACCAATGTCATTTTTCACAGAACTAGAAAAAAAAATTCTAAAGTCCATATGGAAGCAAAAAAGAGTCCGAATAGCCAAAGCAATCTTGAGTGGAAAAAAAACAAAACAAAAAACTGGAGGCATCAGATTGCCTAATTTCAAATTATACTACAGGGCTATAGTAAGCAAAACACCATGGTACTGGTATAAAAATAGACACATAGATCAATGGAACAGAATAAAGAACACAGAAATAAAGCCACATATTTACAGCCAATTGATCTTGGACAAAGTCAACAAGAACATACACTGGACAAAGGATACCTTTTTCAATAAATTGTGCTGGGAAAATTGGATTGCCATATGTAGAAGAATGAAACTGGACTCCTATCTCTCACCATATACAAAAATCAACTCAAGATGGATTAAAGACTTGAATATAAGACCTGAAACTATAAAAATACTAGAATAAAATCTAGGGAAAACTCTTCTGGGCATTAGGCAAAGAATTCATGACTAAGACCTTGAAGTACAGGCAACAAAAACAAAAATAAACAAATGGGACCTAATTAAACTACAAAACTTCTGCATAGCAAAGGAAATGATGAACAGAGTGAACAGACGACCTGCGGAATGGAAGAAACTATTTGCAAACTGTACATCCAATAGGGGCTAATATCCAGAATTTACAAGGAACCCAAACAATTAAACAACAACAACAACAAAAATTAACCCCATTAAAAAGAGGGCTGAGGACATGAGCAGACATTTTTCAAAAGAAGACAAACGGCCAAAAAGAATATGAAAAAATGTTCAACAGCCCTAATCATCAGAGAAATGCAAATTAAAACCACAATAAGATGTCATCTTACACCAATCAGAATGGCTTTATTATTATTACTATTTTTAGAGACAGGGTCTTGCTCTGTCACCCAGGCTGGAGTGCAGTGGCCCAATCATAGCTCACTATAACCTTGAACTCCTGGCTTCAAGGGATCCTCTCACCCTGGCCTCCCAAAGTGCTAGGTTTAAGGCATGAGCCACCACCCCAGGCAAAATGGCAATTATTAAAAAGACAAAAAAATAACAGATGTTGGCAAGGATATGGAGAAAAGGGAACTCTTATACACTGTTGGTGGGAATGTAAATTAGTGCAACCTGTATGGAAAACAGTATAGAGATTTCTTTTTTTGTGTGTGTGGTTTTTTGTTTTGTTTTGTTTTGTTTTTTTGAGACAGAGTCTCACTCTGTCACCCAGGCTAGAGTGCCATGGAGTCAGCCTAGCTCACAGCAACCTCAAACACCTGGGCTCGAGGGATCCTCCTGCCTCAGCCTCCCAAGTAGCTGGGAGTACAGGTGTGCGCTACCATGCCCAGCTAATTTTTTTGTATTTTTAGCTGCCCAGCTAATTTTTTACATTTTTAGTAGAGACGGGGTATCACTCTTGCTCAGGCTGGTCTTGAACTCCTGACCTCAAGCTATCCTCCCGCCTCTGCTTCCCAGAGTGCTACAAGAATCAAGAGGATCAGTTGAGCCCAGGAGTTTGAGGCTGCAGTGAACTATGATGATGCCACTGCACTCTACCCAGGGTGACAGTGAGACTCTGTCTGAAAAAAAAAAAAAATAGAAAAATTACTAGTCATTGACAATGCACCTGGCCACTCAAGAGCTCTGATGGAGATGTACGAGAAGATCACTGTCATTTTCATGCCTCTATCACAATATCCATTCTGCAGCCCACCAATCAAGGAGTAAATTCAACTTCCAACTCTTATTATTTAAGAAATACATTTCATAAGGCTACAGCTGCCATTGATAGTGATTCCTCTGATGGATCTGGGCTAAGAAAATTGATAACCTTCTGGAAAAGGTTTACCATTCTAGATGTCATTAAGAACATTTGTGATTCATAAGAGGAGATCAAAATATCAACATTAGCAGGAGTTTGGAAGAAGCTGATTCCAACCCTCATGGATGACTTTGAGGGATTTGAGACTTCAGCGGAAGAAGTTACTGCAGTTGTAGTGGAAATAGCAGGGGAACTAGAATTCAAAGTGGAGCCTGCATGTGGGACTGAATCGCTATAATCTCATGATAAAGTTTGAACGGATGAGGAGTTGCTTCATATGGATGAGCAAAGAAAGTGGTTTCTTGAGATGGAATCTGCTCCTGGTGATGATGCTGTGAACATTGTTGAAATGACAACAAAGGATTTATAATATTATCTAAACTTAGTTGACAAAGCAGCACCAGTTTGAGAAGACTGGCTCCAATTTTGAAAGAAGTTCTACTGTGGGACAATGCTATCAAACAGGCTACAAAGAAATTTTTTGTGAAAGGAAGTCAATTGATGCAGCAAACTTCATTGTTTCATTTTAAGAAATTGCCACAGCCACCCCAACCTCAGCAACCACACCCTGATTGGTCAGCAGCCATCCACATGTAGAAAAGACCACCCTCCACCAACAGAAAGATTACAACTGGCTGAAGGCTCAAATGACTGTTAGCATATTTTAGCAATATTTTTAAATTAAGGTATGTACGTTGTTTTTTCCACATTATGCTCCTACACACTTAGTAGGCTAAGTAAATATATTAAATATAT